TAACAGCTGTAATTCCCAGGTACCTATTTACTGCTAGGTAACAGGGGCATCAGGGTGAAAACTCTGTCCATTTTTTTCTCACCAGCGCTGGGAATCGAACCCGGGCCTTAGGGTTATGAGTCCCGCGCACTGTCCACTCAGCTTCACTCCTGATGTAGACCTGACCAAATGTAAACTGTGGGAACAAAATTATTCGCACACCCTCCGTCACTATGAGTGCGAAAAGATACAGGAATTCAGAAATTATTTTATAAGAAGTGTTCATGAGATGTGTAAATATTTCATTCAAAATGATCCGCTACCAGAAATCTTAGCCAAATATCACAAAATATCAATAGCTAATTATTGCTTTTATTAATCATTCTAAAAAACAATGGTATGATTTATCGTTGCACGTGTAATTACCTAAGTGTAATTACCTAAATGTTACAGGATGAGAGCTACGCTCGTGGTGTCCCGTCTTCCCAGCATTCTGTCATATAATGCTTTTTATTTTATTATATGTTCACACAATGTGTGAACACGTGTTGTTGTTGTTTATGTACTCTGCTAGAAGTGCTGGCACGGTCGTACGTTAGCGTCTGAGCTCCGCCTCTCTTCCATTAAGTGGCAAATTAATCACCGACGTCTCATTTGTATTTTCGTTAAAAAATTATTGAATTTGTCCATACAATATCTTCCAATTGTTTGAATATGCTCTTGGTACGCCCCTACGCGTGTCTCTTGTGCTCTATCATCTTATACCGCATCCACGATTCAATCATTTTTCATATATGTAAATTCTAGTTTTCTTATATTTACAATTTTAAATAAATAAGATCAATAAACCTCGATAACATTCAATTCAGTTGTACTTTGGGAGCCTCGAACGCAGGACGACAGACGCGGAAGACCGTAGTTCTACCAACTAGGCTACTCAACACCCACAATAGGAGGAGGATCAAGAGTTACGTAATTGGTATCCAATTGAGAGACAAGAGGCAGGCAGACATATAGCGAGAGTGACTGGGACCGAGACTCAGAAGGGAGGCATGTGTACACACACACCCCTTGCCTTATGTTATAGGTTATCTTGAGATGATTTCGGGGCTTTAGTGTCCCCGCGGCCCGGTCCTCGACCAGACCTCCACCCCCCAGGAAGCAGCCCGTGACAGCTGACTAAAGATGTTCACTATCGTGACAAAACATTTCTAATATATGCAGGCGATGAGTCGCAATGACGTACCTAAAGTAAGTTGACCAGACCACACTAGAAGGTGAAGGGACGACGACGTTTCGGTCCGTCCTGGACCATTCTCAAGATAGACTTGAGAATGGTCCAGGACGGACCGAAACGTCGTCGTCCCTTCTCCTTCTAGTGTGTGGTCTGCTCAATTTATAATATACGTGGCTAATTTAGGCGCTTTGTTTCCATATGTACCGTTTTTTTCCGTGTACTTTTATACTAATATTCTTTTCTTGTCCGTCTTGTCTATTCCTGTAAGTATTGGTACGTGGTAATCATGACTCCCTTGTTTCTTGTCTCCGAGTGACAAAGTTTAGCAGCTTTAGTCTTTCCTCGTAACTCATACCTCTCGACTGTGGTATTAGTCTGGTACCATAAATCTGAACCTTGTGTATGTATTCACCTAGTTGTGCTTGCGAGGATTGAGCTTCAGGTCTTTAGTCCCGCCTCACAACTACCAATCTACTGATGTACAGGTTCCTGAGCTTATTGATCACTATCATATCTACCTTTGAACCTACCATGGGTGCGTGTCTGTCCTTGTATTGACATGTGTCGATAGATAATTAAACAGCGCCGATTAAAGCCACAAGCTAATACCAAAAATCCTGTTCATGTTATCCGGATGTTGTAAACATCACAATACCTGGCAATTCATCTTTAGTCTTTGTAATGTAACATTTGTGGGGCGAGGTGGTGCGTGGCGCCACTTTACAGAAAGGGTAGTAAAGCTGATGCAAACAATTATAGACCAATTAACGGTAGTTGACATGTAACCACCACCTGTGGAGCAGCCCAACACAGGCACCTGTAGTGATAACCATTGACAACCAACGAGGTCTCTTGTGTCACATGTTCATGTCAGGGAGTAACTCTCCCGAGCCAGCCAGGGCCGTGGTCAGGTGCAGCACCTGGCTGGGGGTCACTGCCTTTATCAACATCTCCACAGCCTCGGGGAATAACAACCAAGATAAAAATACTTGGTCTGTATTCTTTAATAATAAATAAAATAAATAAAAACAGTTAACAAATCCACAAGGGCCGTGACGAGGATTCGTACCTGGGTCCGGGAGCATCCCAGACATTGCCTTAATCGACTAAGCTACGACGGGGTTAAAAACAGTTGTAACCCAAGTTCTACTGAACTTAATGGATCACGGCCCTTGTGGATTTGTTCATTTGATGCATCACGTTAGTGAGATCTCCGTGTGTAAAAACACAGTAGTATGTACAGTATGTGTACATGTCAATTCACTGCCGTTACTAGTCAATGTACCAATAAAGTACCGCTGTCACCGGTACCAATAAAGTTTCTTAATCACTATATTTCTGCACTATTCCAAGGTCGACAAACTTCACGTATATCTCACAAACGGCTCCTTCACACGCCAATCCAACACACTGTACATGTCTTTCCCTGGCGCCTCTCTCTAAAAAAACCACTACGGGCTCACCATAGCCCGTGCTACTTGGAACTTTGTTCCAGGTAGCGAATCTTTAACAACAACAACCTCTCTCAAACGCCAGGGACGCCGAGTAAACCAAACCAACACACTGCTCTTCAGCTGGGGAGCACTTCTTTAGTCGTATATATCTGTGGACCACCAGCCTGGTAGTGATATTATGGTCGCTGGAGTGAGTGGAATACTGACTCCACCCACCTGTCGTGGTGTGCTTATTTCCTCGCTCACCGACTCTGATTGGCTCTCGTTTCCCGCCACCAGACGAGCAGTGCTGGACCAACGACACCAACGGTCGTCATCCTCGTTACCTTCTGCAATAGTTTAACCGCGTTTTAAAATTAATTCACAATTTATATCTTAATTTGGGTGCGCTGAATATTCACGTATTTGCGGCATTCCGAAACATGTCGCAGTCACAAGTCTTTGAAATAGTGTTAAGAAGTAAGATCACAAAACACAGGGAATCAGGGCGTCTACATAACCCTGGTCAACATGGGGTTCAGAACAAGGCGCTCCTGCCTCTCACAATTGCTGGACCACTATGACATGGCCTTAGCTGCCATGAAAGACAAGCAAAACGCAACACATATACACAGATTTCGCTAATGCTTTCTACAGATGTGACCATGGTCTTATTACACACAAAATGCGCACAAAAAGAATTACTGGTAGAGTAGGGAGATGGACCTGTAACTTTCTAACAAACAGAACCCAGAGTGTAATAGTTACAACTCAGAATGTTTGGTAATATGTTTATTGTTTGTGATGTGTGTCTATGTATGTATTAACACGATGTACTGAACGGGGTGAGAATAGCTTGAGCTACCTCATCCCTTTGTGTGTATTTTACCTCAATAAACTTATTTCAAGTTCAATAGTTACAAAGTAAAATCTAAATCATCCACCTTGAAAAGCTCAGTCCCCCAAGGTACCGTACTTTCTCCTCATCCTCATATCAGACTTAGACATGGACACAAACTATAGTACCATATCATCTTTTGCAGATGACACTAGGATTTTTTATGAGTAGACAATATAGAGGACACAGCAAACGTCCAATCTGATATTCATCAAGTCTTTCAATGGGCCATGATGTTTAATGAGGATAAGTTCCAATTACTGCACTATAGAAAACATTAAAACAGAAACCACATATCAAACAGTCAAACCATACCATTTACAGAAAACAAAAATGTAAAAGATTTAGAAGTAATCATGTCGGAAGACTTTTTTAAAGAACGTTTTAAAGAACACAACAGTTGCTGTCACAACTGCGAGAAATATGACATGTTGAATAACAAGAGCCTTCCAAACAAGAGATGCCATTCAATTGATACTTTTTAAGACAATAATGCTCTCTAGAATGGAATATTGTTTCACACTAACAGCCCCATTCAAAGCTGGAGAAATTGTTGACCTGGAGAGCGTGCAAAGATCTTTTACCGCTAGAATCGACTCATTAAAACATCTAAAGTATTGGGACGGCCTAAAATATTTAAATCTGTATTCATTAGAGTACAGGTAGGAGAGAGACAAAATAATTTATACTTAGAAAATATTAGGACTGGTTCCAAACCTGCACACAGATATAACACCACATGAGACCAGGAGGCATGGCAGGAAGTGCAAATTAGCCCTATTTTGAGGTGTAATAGGTACACTGAGAGAACTCTTATCAACAGCAGACCCAAGACTTTTCACAATTCTCCCTCTAAACATGATAGGCATATGTGGAAGCTTCTTCGCATTGTTCAAAATAGAACTTGATAAACACCCCCGTCAGGATACCTGATCAAGTAGACTGGTCCATACGTGAGGCTGCGTGCAGCCTCGTCCAACAGTCAGGCTGACAAGACCAGCAAGCAGGAAGCCTGGTCAGAGACCGGGCTGCTGTGTTTGATAACGGCCTCGTTGACCGAGGATCAACGAGGGACGTTAATCCTTAGTACCAACGCAAGGTAAAGAAGGAAGGAGCGAAGTGTCACATGTAGTAGCGTTGTTTAGGGTGCGGGGAAGTGTTGAGTGGTAAGTATTGGTACTTTGTGTGTTGTCGGGTAGGGTGACGGAGCTTAGTGAAGTATTGCCGGGTACAGTTTGGGACGGTCGTGGGAGGACCCTGCTGCCTAGTGTTCCGAGGGAGGGCATTGCCTGGTGCTATGGCTAAATGCCTGGTTGGTGTGGGGGTGGCGGTAAGAATAAGGGCTTAAACATAACGTTATTGTGGGGGTGTGGGGGGAGGTGATAGATGCTGTGCTTGGGGGTGTAGGGATATTGGGTGGAGGAGCGCCAGAAAGAAAACGAGTATGCGTGGAGCTCATAGCGAGGCGAGGCGTGAGCGAGGGTGGGTGTGTGCGTGTGTGACTCGCTGGCTGGTGTTAGTGAGCAAGCTGGAGCAGTCGAGGTTGCTCACCTGTGGCTCTTGGTCACTACTGTTTGACACACTCCTCCACTAGGAGCCTGTGCTTACTGCTACCATCATTCTCATATCGAGCCCTACACCTCTTGTGTAACTAGTGTTTACGTCCTGTCAGCTGTTGCGGTGGTGTACTATATGCGACCATCAGCTTTAAGCGGATCATACTTCCCTCCGTGCTACGGCATATTCGCACACTCCTGCTTTTTTTCCACGTGTGGATATTTTTGGTGTAAAAGTGGTGTAAGACGCTGTAAACCGTCAGTTTACCCAGCTGTTGACACGGTGATAACCTGCCTCCTCCACTCCCACCAACCTCTAGTTGACAAAAATTCCATTGTTGCCATCTTTTAGAAGTGTTGTGTTCTGGGACTAAAGTAGATCCAGCTGGCCAGGGATTATGTACTCCCATAAATAACTGTTCTCTACTGTTACGTTATCTACTGTTACGTTTGTTCTGCATTTTCGAGACGGTTGAAGAAAAATACGAAATATTAAAGAAACCAGAAAATGTTTGCAAGCAGATATTCCTGTGATATTCACCCATTATTTTCGTGTGATTTATAACAGAAAAGTCAAAGTTGTCGATGATTGGCGGATGCCCGGTAAACTGGGGTGGCAAACTGTGATCCACCCATCCGGGGCCAGCGTAAAGTTGCAAGTGTATGAGAAAATAAGTTTGTGGCTACGATAAGGCTTAGTGGTGTGGCGTCCTTGGCTCGTCTCACACTACCTTGAGAACACGTGCAGCAGGTATGGTTTAATTGTAATTTCGTTCCAGTTTAGTTTATTCATTATGCACCTCATACCCATCGGTGAGTGATAAAGATTTCAGAGGCGCATAATGGGCTCAGGAACTGAATTCCAAAGTCCTTTTAGCTAAGTTCAAAGTTTGATAAGACAGTTACACGGTTTATTCAAATATACATCAAAGGCCTATTCAGTTTTTATATAACTTCAACCTATGGTTTATATGCAAGACGTTATGTTGGGGTTCTCTGGGATCGAGTGAGAGTTGAGTGGATCATAGTGGAGTTTACATAGTGCTCTCGAAGTTCATCAGTATTCATTTAATTAAGCAAGTTACAGCATTGATTAACTAGTTACAGAGTATTACGTATGCGCCAGCAGCCTATTCACGCTTGTAGAGTTTAGCTTAATAAATTGCATAATATTGAGATATTGTACCGCAATGTTATTGAAGGAAAACTGTTTACATTTGTGGTGAACTAGTTGGGCTTAGATTTTGCCACAGTTGAGGTAGTAATGTAATAAGACTGTTGAGGTAAACGTTACGATACATGGACTTTAAACTAGCAAGCAAGAGAGTTCAAATGCTCTCAATGTGTCTGTTGTGTTTACCATGTCAAGTGTGTGTGAGATGCAATAATCTCTCAATAATTACTGGAAAAGGAGAATATTCCAGAGAACTGTGATGCGCATCTCTGGTAATGTCTACCTTCTTCATTATCTTTATACATAATTATTTTTTATTGTGATGAATTCTTTGAAGTTGAGTAAAAGTAGTATTTCAGTGTTGTTGTTATTGACAACTAGAACGATAAATTTTCGTAGCTTTTATGTAGACTATTATATGGTAATTTTCATTAGGGAAATGGTCTACGTATCAACACTGGAGAAAAGTATCTACCTCTCTACATCATAGCTACTCTTTAAACTAACCTAACAGGCCAAAGTAATGTATCTTATCCTAACCCAACTTAACAAAAATAACATTATATTATGTTTTATATAGTATGGATGTGTGAGGTGACTGACGTCATGATGTGCATGATGTTCAAATTCTAGACCCTACTGGTACTAGGCTGTCGTCTCGTCTAAAATATTCTGCTTGTTTACTTACAGTTCATTTAGAACTGGGCACGACGTACACCTCCCAGACGTCATACATGACGTTTATCTCCTTACGTCTTGCTCCTCCTTACTACATTGTTTACATACACGTATTGGTGCCATAATTTTGGTAATGGTAATATAAATTTGATAAGTTTAATGGATATAATGGGTATAAATTGGATAAGTTTAGATTTAGGAAAGACTTGGGTAAATACTGGCTCGGTAACAGGGTTGTTGATTTGTGGAACCAATTACCGCGTAACGTGGTGGAGGTGGGGTCTCTCGATTGTTTCAAGCGTTGGTTGGACATGTATATGAGTGGGATTGGGTGGTTATAGATAGGAGCTGCCTCGTATGGGCCAATAGGCCTTCTGCAGTTACCTTTGTTCTTATGTTCTTAATATATTGTACGAGAACCTATTCTTGTAAAAGGCAGAATGTACGAAGACTGAGTATCATAGTGATGGTGAATATACCGTAGAACAGCATCCCGATCTATCCAGGTGGGATGTTGTAGAGGATAGCTTAGTTTGCAGGCGATTAGTCACAATAACGTGGCTGAAGTATGTTGACCAGACCACACACTAGAAGGTGAAGGGACGACGACGTTTCGGTCCGTCCTGGACCATTCTCAAGTCGATCGACTTGAGAAAGGTCCAGGACGGACCGAAACGTCGTCGTCCCTTCACCTTCTAGTGTGTGGTCTGGTCAACATAGCTTAGTTCATCACAGGTAACCTCGTCATGGACAGAAAGATGTTCTGTTATCTGTGTTCCTGAGAGTTGCCACATACTACAACTCATGTTGTAGTATGATCACAAGAGTGTGTTGCCACATACTCTTGTGATAGACGAGAATAACTGTCCATTAGAAAGGCGGTAAAATAAGGAGGGTTTGGCCATAGGATGTTGACAGTAATGTTCCTACCGGGAATAAACAAATTAAAAGGCATTTGAATTGTTGATGGCTAACAACTCCCGTGGGGAGTAGACCAACTCCCAGAACCTCATACAAGTATCATCCGGGTTACACACTTGTGCTTGTGTCAACCCCAAGTGTAACTTGTGACGACGCTGACTCTCCTTGTGCAGGAACTCACCGTGGAAGAAAATGCAGAATAGAACCAGTGAAGAGCAGAGGTGCCATAGGCACAATCAGAGAACACTGTATAAACATCAGAGGTCCACGGTTGTTCAACGTCCTCCCAGCGAGCATAAGAAATATTGCCGGAACAACCGTGGACATTTTCAAGAGGAAATTAGATTTATTCCTCCAAGGAGTGCCGGACCAACCGGGCTGTGGTGGGTATGTGGCCCTGCGGGCCGCTCCAAGCAACAGCCTGGTGGACCAAACTCTCACAAGTCAAGCCTGGCCTCGGGCCGGGCTTGGGGAGTAGAAGAACTCCCAAAACCCCATCAACCAGGTAGTCGAGCCCAGTATACCGTAATTTTTACTACTGACTTTTTCGGACTTTGAGTTTGTGTGATTTCTCTCATCAGGTCTGAATGTTTAGTGTACCAAGGTCTAGTTCAATAAAATGTTGTGTTGCATGCCGAGTTAGCTGCTGTGCGTGTGTTATGATTGGTTATGCTTGTGGGATGGTATCCAAGATGAGACACTATGAACCCTTCTCTGCAGCCAGCAAGCATTTGCTGGTATTAACTTCCTACTGTCTTATGTTTGAGAAATTGAGTGCTTGAAGACCTGAGCTTTAATAGCACAAAGCCATTCCTTGTCATGTATTTTTTAAAGTTGTAGGCAATTGTAGTAGAGCGTGTGAGAGAGAGAGAGTACTCCACGTGTAAACTGTGTGAGCAGGAAGGGTCATACTCTCCAGCACTCTTATTGAATCTCCAGTCATGAGATAGTGGTAAGCTATCCAAGTTTGTGGTGACTAACAGACACCAGGATACTCCGGTAATATAAACCATCCTGCCAGATGGGGATCTTTACGGGCTATTCATGCCCGTGCCACCTCTTGAGTGGCTTAATCTTTATCAATCAATCAATGGGGATCTAAGTGTTCCACCTGCAGGTATACACCTCTGCAACCCTTCCTCTTCTTCAACAGAGTAGCCGCATAAATTCCCATGTATCTATGTTAATGGAAAAATATGATAATTTTACCAACCTTTGTCTCCTACCATGTCAAGAATTTAATGATTTTTGTAATGTGCTCTATTTTAAATTAGTATCAGTGTGTTAGGAGAGGACGGTCGGGGCAGTTGTGACGGATACATGGACAGTTTGAGAGAGAATAGTCATGAAGTACGGGCATGTAGTCAGAGTAGCCTACAAGCACCACCAGGTGGTGGTGATGGTGATGGTGGTAGTGATGGTAGTGGTGATGGTGGTGGTGGTGGTGGTGGTGGTGGTGGTAGTGGTGATGGTGGTGGTGGTGGTGGTAGTGGTGATGGTGGTGGTGGTAGTGGTGATGGTGGTGGTGGTGGTAGTGGTGATGGTGGTAGTGGTGGTGGTGATGGTGGTAGTGGTGGTGGTGATGGTGGTAGTGGTGGTGGTGGTGGTGGTAGTGGTGATGGTGGTAGTGGTGGTGGTGATGGTGGTAGTGGTGGTGGTGGTGGTGGTAGTGGTGATGGTGGTAGTGGTGGTGGTGATGGTGGTAGTGGTGGTGATGGTGGTAGTGGTGGTAGTGGTGATGGTGGTGGTGGTAGTGGTGATGGTGGTGGTAGTGGTGGTGATGGTGGTAGTGGTGGTGGTGGTGATGGTGGTGGTAGTGGTGGTGATGGTGGTAGTAGTGGTGATGGTGGTAGTGGTGATGGTGGTGGTGGTGGTAGTGGTGATGGTGGTGGTAGTGGTGGTGATGGTGGTAGTAGTGGTAGTAGTGGTGGTGGTGGTAATAGTGATCCCCGGGGCTCCGCACATATTGCCAATTGCAGGGTGGTGGTGTCGGCTCCTCGCACCGGGAGTATCGATCATCTTCCCATGTTTGCATTCCTTAATGCTCGTTCCCATCCCATGTCTCAGCCACCAGTCTTCACAGTAACTCTCAGGCTGTAGCATCCCAGCTATACTCCCACCAAAATCACCCGCCCCCCCCCATCCCCTCCCATACCTCAGTTATATCTTCCTTTTCTCTTCCATCTCTCTCTCTTGGAAAAAAAAACATTAAAATAAGGACTTCTAATATAAAAAACCAGTCTGTAAGTGCAAAAATGATCAGTTTTCATAGCTAGAAGCTTCGTTGTCACAAATGCTTCATAACACACTTTTAAAGTTTGTAAACTAATGTTGGAAATATAAGCAAACGTCAGGGAGTTTGAGTCTTAATAAATAAACCTATTTTCTCGTAATAAAACTTAACACAGAGTGACTGAGGGAGGGAACTATCAGGGGGGAAAGCACCAAGCCATGACGACTATATATCACTGGGAAAGGGTCAGGATAAGGATTTGGGATGGGACGGGGGGAAGGAATGGTGCCCAACCACTTGGACGGTCGGGAATTGAACGCTGACCCTGCATGAAGCAGACCATCGCTCTACCGTCCACCCCAAGTGGATGGAGCGCAAATTCTATAAAATTTACGAACTTGTAACTTTATTATTAATTAAGTTTGATAAGATCTCTCTTGAGATCTTGAGATGATTTCGGGGCTTTAGTGTCCCCGCGGCCCGGTCCTGGACCAGGCCTCCACCCCCAGGAAGCAGCCCGTGACAGCTGACTAACACCCAGGTACCTATTTTACTGCTAGGTAACAGGGGCATAGTGTGAAAGAAACTCTGCCCAATGTTTCTCGCCGGCACCTGGGATCGAACCCAGGACCACAGGATCACAAGTCCAGCGTGCTGTCTGCTCGGCCGACCGGCTCCCTATAGATGATCTAAGCAAGGAACTACTTTATATTTTAAGGGAGGACCATTACTGACGGGAGGAAGC